CTCATCAACCACCAAGCCAAATTTAATAATTTTTTTTTTATTTGAATTCTACAGATTCGTAGAATTCAAATAAAAAAGGTTCATCAAATTCAACACGGTGGTTGATGAGATATCTTCGCTCAAAGTTTGAAAAAATTTTGGCGCAGCTTTATTTTGATAGACGTTTTGAGTTTTCTTAAAACTTTGAGCGAAAATATCTCATCAACTACCAAGAGAACTTTAATAATTTTTTTTATTTGAATTCTACAGATTCGTAGAATTCAAATAAAAAAAAAGTTCATCGAATTCGACCTAGTGGTTGATGAGATATCTTTGCTCAAAGTTTGAAAAAACTTTGGCGCAGCTTTATTTTGTTAATTTTGATAGACGTTTTGAGTTTTCTTAAAACTTTGAGCAAATATATCTCATCAACCACCAAGAGAACTTTAATAATTTTTTTTTATTTGAATTCTACAGTTTTGTAGAATTTAAATAAAAAAAAAGTTCATCGAATTCGACCTGGTAGTTGATAAGATATCTTTGCTCAAAGTTTGAGAAAAATTTTGGCGCAGCTTTATTTTGATAGACGTTTTGAGTTTTCTTAAAACTTTGAGCGAATATATCTCATCAACCACCAAGAGAACTTTAATAAATTTTTTTATTTGAATTCTACAGTTTCGTAGAATTCAAATAAAAAAAAGTTCATTGAATTCGACCTGGTAGTTGATAAGATATCTTTGCTCAAAGTTTGAGAAAAATTTGGCGCAGCTTTATTTTGTTAATTTTGATAGACGTTTTGAGTTTTCTTAAAACTTTGAGCGAAGATATCTCATCACCCACCAGGTCAACTTTAATAATTATTTTTTTATTTGAATTCTACAGATTCGTAGAATTCAAATAAAAAAAAGTTTATCGAATTCGACCTGGTGGTTGATGAGATATCTTTGCTCAAAGTTTGAGAAATTTTGGCGCAGCTTTATTTTGATAGACGTTTTGAGTTTTTTTAAACTTTGAGTGAAGATATCTCATCAATCACCATGCCAAATTTAATAACTTTTTTTTTTCATTTGAATTCTACAGATTCGTAGAATTCAAATAAAAAAAAGTTTATCGAATTCAACCTGGTGGTTGATGAGATATCTTCACTCAAAGTTTAAGAAAATTTTGGTACAGATTTATTTTATAGACGTTTTGAGTTTTCTTAAACTTTAAGCGAAGATATCTCATCAACCACCAGGTTAACTTCGATGAACTTTTTTTTATTTGAATTCTACGAATCTGTACAATTCAAATAAAAAATATTATTAAAGTTGACTTGGTGGTTGATGAGATATCTTCGCTCAAAGTTTTAAAAAAAACTCAAAACGTTTATCAAAATAAAGCTGTGCCAAAATTTTTCTCAAACTTTGAGTGAGATATCTCATCAACCACCAGGTTGAATTCGATAAACTTTTTTTATTTGAATTCTACGAAACTGTAGAATGCAAATAAAAAGTTTGATCGGATTTGGATTGGTGGTTGTCGAGATATCTTTGTTTAAAGTTTTGACTTAAGTGTCAAAATTACATATATGTGCAGATTGGCAAAATTGATTGGCCTACGGCCCTGGATCACATGACAGGTGAAAATCACCCGGGTGAAAATAAAATTTCCCACTAATAAATTTTAAAAAATATTAAGTTTATATTCTATTTAATTGATTTATAAAAGTTTGCATTCTAGCCTTTTTTTTTATTAAATAAAGTACAAATAATTTTCTAAAGATTCTTTAAAACAAATGAATTTTTCTATATGAATCTTGCTAAGAATAAAATTTCCTAATTTTTTTAATAAATTTTTGATATAATACAAACTAATACGAATATAAAGAAATGAAAAAATTCACTTTCGTCAATTTTAATTAGCTTAATTCCAATATATTTACAAATTATAACTAGAATATGTATTGTAAATTTAGTAATGAAGAGATAAGGAAGCAATAATAATTATATAAATGAAATAAATAATCTAAAAATTTTAAAATCAGTCTAGCATTATTAAAATAAATTTAAAACAAAGTGCCCGATGGCATCCTCTCACTGAAAAAAAAGGTTAAAATTGAGATAGGTATTACGGGTAGTATTGACTTTATGGTATAGTGATTATTTGAATAATAAATAACAATAACAATTATCATTATTGTTATTAAATAAAGAAACTATACATAATGAATAACAACCTTACTATTACTTCTTTTAAAATATTCAATAAATTTAATCGTATGCTATCTACTTGGGTTGTTAAATATCTATCATCAACTTTTTGAAAATTATCATTATTGTTATAATATATTAAAAAGATTCTATTAAATTATCGTTATTATTATTATTGTAGTCCTATATTGAAGTGCTTAATTCAATTATCGATTTTTAATTTGCCTAAAACAACAATAAATAAAGTTAATTTATAATATATAAATTACTAAACATTTAGATACTAACAAATTATTTCATAATAGGTCAAAATAAAAAATACAGTAATGATACCTATTAGATCCATTAGCATGTTTTTTATCATACAATTTCTATCCGTTTCTATTAAACATGACTTTATAAATAAATTGGTGCGCTGTGTTATTAATTTAGAATCAAATTCATAATAGCGAAATGACAAACTTGAGCAAAGATATCATAACAACTACCAAGCCAATTTGATGAATATTTTTTTATTTGAATTCTATTAATTTGTAAAATTCAAATAAAAAAAAGTTCATCGAATTGGCTTGGTAGTAATCATAATATCTTTGCTCGAAGTATGAAAAAAATTCAAACCATTTATCAAACATTAAATTATTTTCCTAAATGAAAATATCTCGACAACCACTAAACCAACTTCTTTTATTTAAATTTCAACAATTTATAGAATTTAAATAAAAAAGCTCATCAAGTTGGCTTGGTGATTGTCGAGATATCTTCGCTTAATTTATAGTGCAGCTTCTATCGCTATTTTGATAGTTTGAATTTTTTTCAAGCTTTGAGTGAAGATAACTTGACAGCTTTCAAGCCAATTTCGATGAATTTTATTTTATATAAATTCTACAGGTTGTCAGGATTATTTTTGTTCATAGCTTCTATTTTGATATACATTTTAAATTTTTTTCAAACTTTGAGCAAAGATATCTTAACTACCAAGCCAAATTCAATAAATATTTTTTTATCTGAATTAACAAAATAATATAATTCAAATAAAAAAATATTCATTTAATTTGGCTTAGTGGTTGTCGTGATATCTTCGCTCAAATTTGTTGTTTTGCCATTGCTATGTCATTTTAATCACCCTTCATCAAATACTAACTTACCTATTTGTTGTTAGTCCAACTGCTTTAATTGAATGATTAATAATGATAAGTATTATAGCGATTTTTACTTGAATATCGATATGCAACCTTTTTTTGGCCTGCAATTATGAATTTATTAATTTAATATTTTTATATAATACAATATCAATATACGGTAATTAAAACATCACAACTTACTTGAATAGTGCATTTTTCATCAATAAAAACCAGATTTATTAAATTGAATAACTAGATCAATTGAAATTTAATTCTAGGGCTTCATTAATATGGGTGCCTATGCGTTACTTTAACAACTTTATCGTGTTTTTTAAAAAAATCTTCAATAGATTCCTGAGAGGGTGGATTGATCATGTCAAATCCTTTCTGATTAATCAGAATGTAATGAGTCAAATTAACCGAAGATGTCAGTAAATAAATCCATTAAAAAGGTCTAAAATCATTACTGCGTAAATCGACTTCCACATCAGCCCAGATGTTATATAGTATTACTAGTAAAGTATAATTCAGTAAGACATTAATTTGACGTACAATAATTTTAATAATTAATAAATACATTACCCTTTCTGACCTAATGATTTATATTGCAGATCTTATTCATCAACATCGTATTTCTAGTACTCGGTAGTTATATTCGTAAAATCTACTTCATATACGCAAATAATTATAGTAAATTAATATAGTACTTGCGATTATTTTTCAACCCCAAGTCTTATAAGTAATATGACTTATACCTACGTATTTATGATAATAAATTTAATAAATAATGCTTCACATTCGTCATTTCTACCTTCAATTCCTCTATCATAACTAGCAAGGGCTTATACATACCCATATATTTTTAATAACGATAGTTTAAGTTCATTCTTTTCAACTCTAATTCCTCCTTATAGTTAATATTTGCGAATTTTTTAAAATAAATAAATATCTTATATTCATTCTTTATCTTTAATTCCATATCGATATCTACAAATTTTGATAATAAATAAATGCATTATATTTATACTTCTAATTCTATAATACATTAAACATTTCTTTGATTATGAACAATATTAGCAAATTATAATAGATAAGCATCTTACCTATCAGCTCAACCGTAATTTCAGAATTTCTTCATTATAAAAAAAATCTATATTCACTATCATTTTGATAATAAATAAATATCTTATCTTTTTATATAATTTTTTATTATAAAAAGATCTATATTCACTAATGTTTGAATAAAAATATGTTCTACACCTATCTCTTTCAACTCTAATTTTATATCTACAAATCGTTTGAATTTCTTATATTCATTCTATAACGATAACGATAATCATTCTTTTAGTGACAATTCTGGCATATGTAAGTTCAATATATATGATAGTAACCAGTAAATAGTATATAAATATGTATTTACATAATGTACTACAAAATTTTTAACTTGCTATCAAATACACAATATCGATATTATTAAATTAGAGTAGCTTCTTTTTTGATAGTTACTATCAATATTGTTTATAAATAACGATGATAATTTTCTTATTTCTTTTTTTTTTTTGTAATATCTAATATGTATGCAAAAATAATATAAGTAAAAAAGAAGATTCAATACCAAAACCAAAGAATATTAAAAAGCTTACAGTTTTGTTTAATCTATTTTTCTTCACTTGTTATGCTGATTGCATGTCCCACTCAGAACTAATATCATGAAGTTTATGCAAAGTTTCAATGGCTATATCCTCAGGAAAAGCATCATAATTAAGTATACTTTCAAGTACTTCTTTTTCGTTGTTTGTTGTAATTCGATGGTGACGCCTTATACAATTGTTGTTTTCATGAGATTGTTGCTGTAATTCATTGTTTTCAGTTTGATTATTTTGCCTTTGTGATGTTTGTGAAGGTAAAATAGCTAATTTATGTACTCTTATATTTCGTTTGCAGCGGCCTTTTATAACACGAGCTTCAGTTTTATAAACATCTTGGCACAAAATTGCACCAAGTCTAGCAATGCCCTTTTTATAACATTCAAAAATATTAGAGAACCCTTCTCTAGTCAATTCTTGTGTGTTTATAAACAATTCATGTGTCTTTGGATCAGGTAAAGAAAAAGCATTAAATAAATCATTGACTAGTTTCTACAATCTTTCCTTTCGCAATTGCACACAACGATCCTCCTTAGCTATAACTGCATCACCCATATATTGTAACAATAGTAATTCTAGCCTTTCTCTCTTGGCCTGTGCAGAGCTTATTTGCAATTTAATTCCTCAATATCTATTGTTTTTCCACTGATATTTTGCTTTACAAACATAACTCCTAATTGCTCAAGTGCTTCATCGATTGCAAAATAGTGTCCTGGACGTGTTAGATTTACTGAGCAAACATGTCTTAGTAATTCTTGAAGATGTAAATCATCATTAACATAAGATAAAAAATATGTCACTGATTTAGTATAATTTACCTTTCCAGAAACAGGAAAGATAGGTAAGAATGCAGCAAGATTTTTCATTTGCATTTCATAGTTGCCCCTGCAAATACCAATTTTATAACCTATCCAGTACCCAGCCCAACAAAAATAACGATACCAAACTCTTAAAACATAGTTTTCTCCCTTTTCAATATCAGCTATAGTTTAATTTGTATTATGTAAATACTTGCAAAATGCGATCCCAACAAAAACCCAAATTAACTTCAATACTTGGCAAGTAGCTTGGTAGTCCACAACCTTTTTTAGCTTGTCAAGAAAACAAACACTGAGGCTTGCTACCATATAAGCAATACTATAACCTGAGAATGTATTTATAAGAGCACCGCACATACTCCGTGAAGTGTGTCATTGTCCTAACATAGGTCTTACAACCTTATTTTTGTTTTTCTCTTTGTATGAAATTACTCAGCGAAAAAGTGCCTCATCACATACAATATCTAAGCATTCAGTGCTTTTTACTCCTACATCATCGTAATATAAATCACATGCCTTGTGAATATTTATATCACAATTTGGACTGTCGCCTGGTCTAAGTATTACAACATTTGGGTGAGGTACTTGATATCCAATTGATACTGTTTCTGAGATTTTGCTAAGAATATCACCCACATCCCAATTGTCATTATTTCTATTTAAAAACTTTTGAAAAATTGTTTCATACGATGAAATAAGATGGTCAGTATAATCTGATGTACCAAATAATAATTGATGATTATTATTAAAAGAAACATTATTATTAACATGACTATAGTGTTGAAGTGGAAATGGCATAGTAAATTGAAATACCATTCTTAATGTGGCATGTACTGTTTTGCACATGGTATTATAGATATTTCTATATGCGAATGTTTGTTCAAAAAAATCTATATTGTCAATTACTAAAATATTCCATATATTGTTACCTTATATTAATCGTTCTTCTGGTTTTGTTTCATGTCGATGAACTTTTTCTAGAAGCCTTTCATGTTGTTGAGTATGTAATATTACATTAGCTACGCACAAAATGTTATACAAATAATGAAGTAACTTTGGCTTTTGACATAGCAAACTCATAATATGAGTAAACCAAATACTTGTTCCTGGAAATGCTATATTTAAAATCATTAAGATAAGAAATACAACGATTTTAGTTACATGACTTTTATCAAAAGCCTTTGATGAAAGACCTCTTTGATTTCTTTTTTTTAATACTACTGTATGCTTTTTTCTCTGTAACGTATCTATAAATCTATTAAAAAATTTTAATAAAAATTTAGAAAACCCATTTTGATACTCAGTTAATAATGTTGAGCTTTTAAGTATTGCTTTGTTTTTTTGTATATCATGCCGTGCATTTCACGTTGCATTCCCTAGTGCTTTTCCAAAAGCTATAGCAGTTTCAGAGTTAACTTCATGTTTATGTTCTAGATTTGTTAAATCTATGTGACCTAATTTTAAGCCTATCTTGATAAAAAAAGAGCTTGGTAACGAATTTGATAAATTTGATGAATTTGATGAATTTTATGAATTTGATGAATTTGATAAATTTGATGAATTTGACAAATTTGATAAATTTGATGAATTTGATGAATTTGATGAATTTGGTGTTTTTGTAGAAGATTTTGAATTAAAAATGTTTGTAAAACAGAAACTAGATATGCTAGAAAAATTTTTTTTTATCTTCATCAGTAGTTCCTGTCATATACAAAATCCAATAACCTAAAACTTGAAGTGCCTCATTTATATCATTACTATGCATATTTTTACATATAAAAGCTTCATGTCCACAACCATGTCTTTTATAAAAGTGCCCACCATGAAGAATAAAACATTCTGAACAAATGTATTGAGGTCTATATTCAGTCTCTGGGTTGTCAATAAGAGTTTCTGGTTTTGTTATATGATTAAATACTGGACAAACCATAAGTCCAACACAAGAAATTTGTATGTTTTTTCCAAAAACATTTTTTGAATGTTGTATGCATGTTTTACCTCAGCTAAAAAAGTACTTGGATTTATTACAGAACAAGCAATGCTGACAAAATACCCAGCTCTTTTCAATAGATCATTTTTGCTTAATATTTGGATTATGTAATTGATTTTGATCAAAATTAAAATGAGATTGGCAAACCCCAATCATTGAAAAATTGTTTTCTCTTTGAGCTTGTTGAAATATTGTCATATCAATTTTTCAAGCACCAATAAGTTGAGCAAGCGGTCGTTGTTTTGGTGAAGAGGCTAAACAACATTGAATATGACCATCAACAATATCTACAATTGGACATACAGTCAATACTTGGTAAGTATTTTTTTTCAATTTCAAATTTTCAATATAAAAGTCATTTTCACTTGAGTTAGACGTAGTTGATTCTAAATTAAATTCTGATGATGTTAATTCATCACTATTATCGCTTACATTATTTAAAAAAATTGTATCACTATTTTCATCTGCTTTTGCTAATGCCCGTGCTCTTTCAAAGCTGATCTTATCAAAAAGAAAAGGGTTAATTTCTATATTATAATCCAATTCATCTTTGTTAATACTTTCTGCTTCAATATCATCAAATATAAGACTTTCATTTGTCAATCCTATACTTTCAACATCTTCCTCTAGAACATATTCTAAATCATTAATTAAACTATTAAAAATGGTTCTTTCTAAAACTTGTGAATTATTTGCAATTTGGAATTTTTCTAAATTCATACCAC